AAACTTCATCAATAAGGCCTCTCCTAAGATACTGATCTATCAAGACTCATGGGGGCTTTTCCTTCTAGTGAGAGGTGTCCCTACCCATAGTAGAGGGGTAGAATGAGATGATCTTTAAGGCCCCTTCTGACCCAAACTGTTCCATGATTCTGTGATTTTCCTTTACAAGAGCTGTTAACACACATCACTGAGAACACACACAACCCCAGGGTCTCTGGGGGTGTCCCCTGCCCTGGGATGGGCTGTTCCTGCTGCACAGGCCTGGGCAGGGGAGCACCCCCTCACTCACCAGCTGAGTGTCCTGAACCAGGGCAGGTCATACGAGTGGTACACGTTGTAGCCAATTGTGATGATCTCGTGGAAACACTTGATCTGGACACACATCACCTGCACAGAAAGACATCCAGAGCTGTAATCCACAGTGATTAAACAGCTCTTTCTGCAGGGAAACAAAAAACATGCATGTGCAGAGCAAAAGGTATTTTAACAGTCGATATCAGTCTGGCAGGAGCCTCCTAATCCAACACAGGAATCTCACCACGCTGTTTTTCCCTCCCCTTTCCTCTGCAGGAGGTTTCCAACAACCTCTTGTCTTGGTTCCAACTGCAGCCAAATGTTGACCAGCAGATTCCTGCCAGGCTTTATCCACAGAGAGAGAAATCCAGCAAGATGAATAGGGACTTCTAAGACATGAGGCTCTGAGCTTCCCACCCCAGCAGTGGTCCCAGTAACCTCCCCACCATTGCTGTGAACCTCAGGACACTTCTCTGGAGCACTTACTATTGTCATTAAGACCATGGGCCCCAAGTAGATGATGATGAAGAAGAAGGTGATCATTGCCAGCGTGAGGATGCCTCTCACCCACCAATTCTTCCATCTGGGCCAGAGAGAAGAGAAGATGTCAGAGATAAGTCAAAGCAGAGCGAAGCAGCCGAACAGCACCTCTGCTCTCTGGGCGTCACAGGAAGGAAACTGAGCCCTGGAAACCCCAAGTTTCCTCTCAGTGCTGCAGAGAGAGCTCAGGCTGCTGCCAAAGGCCTGGCTGCAGCAGCTGCAAGGCTTCAGTTCAGCCTCACTTACTGCAGAAAGCACTAGAGAGGTGCTGGGCATCTCCAAGGCACTGAAATGGGACAGGAGAGTGTCTGCTCCTGCTCTGCTACAGGTTTCCCACATCCTGGGCAAGCTGCAGGGCAAGTTTAAATAAAATAGGGACCACCTCCCCTCTCTGCACTCCTTTCAAGGAGGAGAGATGGGCTGTGAGGTGTTGTACCCTCAGTACTGCCCTGCCCTGAGCCTGTCCCATCCTCACAGCACACCCAGGAGAGACACTTTCTGTGCCTGTGATAAAAACAAGACACTTCCCCCACTACAGTCTGTAGAGAACATCCAGTCTGTTGTTAACTCCTGTCCTCCCCAGCGTGATTTCTTGTGCATTCCTGCACAAGTCAGTCACACTGCTGGTTAGAAACCTCTGCAGCTCAAATCTTTGCTGAGTGCTGTGAAAGCCACACACAACCTCTGTGGTCTGTCCCACTCAGGCCCCTCCACCTGTCAGGACCCAGCAGGAAGCCAGACCCTCCCACAGCCCCCTCCCCTCCCACCTACAGCAGCCCTGACCCTGCTCCCTGCTCTCCCTGCTGCTTCCCGTGGCCTTGGAGGCAGGAAAAGAGCTGGAGAGCTGCTCCTTCCACTTCCACCAGCCCCCGAAGTGCTGCTGGGCCAGGAGAGCACGGGGAGCACGCAGGGCCCTGGCAGAGGAGGGGGATGATGCAAGGCCCTGGCAGAGCAGGGGGATGATGCTCAGGGAGTGTTACCTTGAGGACAGGTTGGACAGAGCTCTGTTCAGGACCTCTGGGGTGTCATCTGATGTCTGCACCGTGGATGAACCTCCAAACTCCGATCTGCTCTCGCTGTCTGACGCTGTCTCTCCATCCAGCCTGTTCTCAGACTCTGACTCCTGCCAGTGAAAGACAGACAAAGAGCTTTACCAGCCACACTCTGAAGGAACTCAGGGCAGCCCACTGGGTGTAACACCAACCACCACTCTGCTTCTGCATTGGAGAGAGGGGAGGAGAAAATATTCTGGGTATTACACGAGGTTAAACCCACGAGAAACATCATCAAGTGTTTTAGGTGCCATCCATGATGGGTGGGATGTCCCTCAGTCTCAGCAGCAGCCACAGTAAAGGGTCTGTTCCCTCTGCACAGCTAAAGATGCCTCACAGTTGATAACGAGTATCTCCAAGTGCTTCAGGGAAACAGCCTTGTTAGCAGGAATTTTTACAAGGCCTCCCAATCCCCAAGCAGATCTCCAAGAATGTAACACTGCCCAAATTAGCCAGGAAGAAAGGCCTCCAAGCAGACAGGGCTCAAGGCTTCCAGACAGACTTTTGAAGTGCTGGCTGCACGGGGACACTAAAAATAACACCCAGCCCATCCTCAGGCAGCTGAAGAGGAAGAGCCCAGCTTATCACCCAGGCCCAACATCCCCTCTGGCACAGGGGAAACCTTATACCGGCAAAAGACACTTCCCTGCCCCTTGGACTGCTCCAGCACTCAGCTCCGAGCAAAGTCCTGGGTTTAGGGGGAAATAAATACAAGTGAGGCAGGTGACTGAGGGCTCTGCAACGGTGGTGGGAAAAGGATTCCGGGTGAGTTCTGGCCCCCCAGAAGTCCTGTGCCTCTTCCCAGTGGCAGTTTTCACTCCAATTCAGCTCCTGAACACAGGACAAGTCCAAACTTAAACATTTTGCCCCTCATTTCAGCAGCACGGCTTCATCCTGCTCCTGGCTCCTTGAAGCAAGGAAGGAAAAGGCCACTCCCTGAGGAGCACTCAGGCAAGGCAGAGCCTGCACTTGGCACTGGAAGCTCCCAGAAAAGGGAGAATGTTTGCAGGAAAAGCTCCGAGGGAGCTGAGCTGACAAACACTGGGAGCTCTGTAACCAATGGGACTCCATCCCTCTGGGGTCCCAGCTCTGTAACCAAAGGGACTCCATCCCTCTGGGGTCCCAGCTCTGTAACCAAAGGGACTCCATCCCTTTGGGGTTCCAGCTCTGCAAACAAAGGGACTCCATCCCTTTGGGGTTCCAGCTCTG